GAAGTAGTTTCCTAGAATAATTAGGCAAGTGATGTCCAATAGGGTTTTCTGTGATGTTAGAAATGTTCTATATCTGTGCTGGTCATAATAGTAGCCACCAGCCACATATAGATATTTTGTATTTAAAATATGATTTGTGAAACAGAAAAACAAATTTTAATATATTTAATTTTAATTAATTTAGATCTAAATAGCTTCATGTGACCACTGGTTACATGTTGGGCAGTGTATCTTTCAGTGCTTAGTGATGGTTTGCAGGTTGTTTTCCTTGCTCTGCAATGTCAGAGGGTGATAGGCTGAACTGTTCTGACAGCTGAATTCATGGACCCCTTTTCTAGTGGCTATTCATGCATTCCTCAGATATCAATTAGATATACTAGATACTAATTAGCCATATATGCAAGTGCTAATTAGATATTATGAACATATTAATTATATTAATTAGATATATCTGAAGATATTAATTAGATATTATTTATAGTATTTGAATTTTGTTTTTGGTACCAGGGATTGAACTCAGGACCTTGCACTTGCAAAGCAGGGGGTGGCACCACTGAGCTAAATCCCCAGCCCTATGAGTTGTTTTTTGGTAGTAGTTCAGCCTTCCATGTCTCTTCTTCCAATTTCCTCCAATCAGGTATAGGTTTCATATATCTTAAGTTTGACTAGGATTTTGTAGATATGGCCATGGTCATGATAGATATTTGTAGAATATTAATTACATCAGTATTAGAAAAAAGTAGAAAATATTTCCAAATTCACGAATGTGTATTGTGAATGCATACATTTTTATAATGATTATTTTCCTCCAATTGTTCCCATCATAGGGTCCTTTTTTTTCATTAAGTTTATTTGTACCTTGTAGTTATTCAGTGCAGTTACATTCATTAGGATCTTGTACCTTTACCTGATGCATTTTGGTTCTTATTTTTTTCTCCATTCCCCTACCCCCTTCACCTCTTCCACCCTTCTCTATTTACAAAGACTTTGTTTCCATTTTTCCTTTTCTCATATTTTTTCTTTTCCCTTATTTCCTTTCATCTAAGTATTCCACTTCCCATTCTCCATTAGACCTTTTCTTCCTATTTCACATTATAAGTTATACAATTTGAACCTTATTTATTTAAACTTTTAGTTTTTCACACACACCTGAGAAGTTTCAGTACTTAAATGTGTGTACTGTGTATTTCTCTTAAGAGTATGGCCTCAATGTGTATCCATTTAGCTACAAATATCTCTAGTTTCTCATTCTTTATGGCTGAGTAGTATTCCATTTTATAGAAAAACCACATCATTATCCAGTCTCCAGTCGATGGGCAATTGGGCTACTTCCAAGTTTTAACTGTTACAAACTGTGCCTCTATAAACATAGGTATGCATATATCACTGAGGTGTGAGTCTTTCCATTCTTTTGGAAAGATACCCAGAACAGGGATAGCTAAGTCAAATGGGACCTCTATTCCTAGTTGTTTAAGGTATCTCCATATTGATTTCCACAGCGTTTCCACCAGTCTGAACTCCTACCAACAATGAAGAAGGGTTCCTTTCTCCCCAATAGCCCACCAGCATTTGTTATTGGTTAATTTCTTGATAGCAGCCATTCTTTCTGGGGTGAAGTGGAATCTCAGAGTTGTTTTCATCTGTATCTCTCTAATGACCAGTGACATAGAACATTTTTTCATACGTTTATTTGCTGCTTTTACTTGTTTGTCTGATAAATGTCTGTTCACTTTAGATGCCTATTTTTGAATCAGGTCTCTATATTTGGGGGATCTAATTTTTTTTTAGTTCTTGATATATTCTAAATAGTAGACCTTTTTCTGAGGAACAGATGATAAAAATGATTTTCCTACATTGTAGGTGGTTTCGTAGTTCTGTTGATAGTTTCTCTTATAGTTCAGAAGCTTTTTAAAGTTGAGATCCCCAAAGTGAAATAGGAAGTAAAGGGCTAAATGTGTAGGGGAAGTGGGAAGGGTAGGGGAAAGGAAATAAGAGAAAAGAAAAAAATATGAGAAAATGAAAAAATGGAAACAAAGCTTTTGTAAATAGGGAAGGGAGGAGGGGGTGAAGGGAGGGCAGAGGTATGGGGAAAAAATGAGAACCAAGACTTGTCATGCAAAGGTACAAGATCCCAGTGATGAATGTAACTGTACTGTATACCTGAAAAGTACCAACAAATTCAATGAGGAAAAATAAGATGATATCCCAATTGTTGATTCTTTGTGCCAGTTCCCATGCTACTAATGATGTGTTCATAAAGTCTTTTCCTGTGCCAATGTCTTTGAGTTCTACCTAACTTATCTTCCAGCTAGTTTAGTGTTTCTGTTTTAATGTTTAGAAATTTAATCCATTTTGATTTTAGTTTAGTGTGTGGTGAAAGATAGGGGTCTAGTTTTAATCTTTGGCAGTTTGAAATTGTTTGTCCAGCAGCATTTTTTAAAGAGGCTGTCTTTTCTCCACTGAAGATGGTTGGCTCCTTTTTCAAAGATGAGGTACCTGATTATGTTTGGAGTTGTTCGTATATCTTCTAGTCTATTTTACTGATCCTTGGATCTGTTTCTTTGCTCGTACCATGCTGTTTTTATCACAGTAGTTTGTAGTACAGTTTCCAGGGGGGGATTATGATACCCCCATCTTGTCTGTGTTGCCTAGAATGGCTTTTGATATTCTAGATATCTACTGGTTCCAAATTAAGTTTTGGATTATTTTTTCTAGTTCTGTGAAACATACTGTTGGGATTTCAATAGGGATTGCATTGACTCTGTATAGCAGTTTTGGTAGTATGGTCATTTTCACTATGTTGGTTCTTTCTACCCAGGAGCAAGAGATATCTTTCCATTTTCTTATATCCTCTTTGATCTCTTTTTCATAGTGCTGTAGTTTTCATTGTAGAGGTCATTTTCTTTCTTCATTAGATTGATTCCAAGATATTTTATTTTTTGGATGCTATTGTTAAAAGAATTGTTTTCCTAATTTCTCTCTCAGTGAGTCTGTTATTTTTGTATAAGAAAACTTCTGATTTTTGAATGTTGTCCTTGTATCCAGCCACTCTACTGAATCTGTCACTTTAGTCTAGAAGTCTTTTGGTGGAATTTTTTTGGGTCTTCTATGTAGAGTATCATATCATCTGTAAGTAATGACAGTTTAACTTCTTCCTTTCCTATCTTTGTTACTTTTATTTCTTTCTCTTTTCTAACTGCTGTGGCTAATATTTCCAGAACTATATGGAACAGGAGTGGTGACAGTGGATATCTTCATCTTTTTTCCTGATTTTAGCATGAAGGTTTTCAGTTTTTTACCATTTAGTACAATGCTGGCTATTGGCTTTTCATAGATATCCTTTATCGAGTTGAGATAAAGACCATATATTCCACATAGTGGTTCTTAACTGATGGTGATCTTGCTTGCCATGGCAAATATGGCAATTTTGTAATTATTTTGGGTTGTTATGACTTGTTGGTATACCAGTGGCATCTAGTTTGTAGCAGCAAGGAAAATTGAAAACAGTAGTCTCCTCCACCAGCAAAGAATTACCTTTGACAAATTATCAGTAGCAAAAAGGTTGAAAACCTTGTGGTGATGATTCAGAGAGAGTAAGTTAGGACTTTTTGCCATAAATAAATTTTAATATATACAATGTAATATTAGGTAGAGTAGGAGAGACTCTTATTTATTGCTCTAAGAAAAATTTAGCACAGAACTTATGAACTAATTAAATTGAAAAAGGAAATTTAGATGCATGGAATGTTTGAGTTTTGTTCAATACTTGTCTACCATTGTGTATAGTAGTAAAAACACACAAATACATGTGAAAATGATCATTTTATTATAAAATTAAGCTGTTTCAAAGATGCTTTCCTGACTCAGTTAATATTCTCTATAAATGCCATTCTGCAAACAATGCCTACCATATTTAGCAGTAAATTTAAATGTACAAAAAGTCTTTGTCACAATCTTATATCAAATTGTTTATGATGTTCCAAATTTATTTAGACTTCTCTTATAAGTTGTGTATAAATATCTAATTTATATTGATTTCTTATTCTACAGGTCCCTCAATTCTTCTGAAGTTTATTGTAAGGGATACTATTTAAATAAAATGTATTAAAAAATAAAAAAGTATAAATGAAAAGTAAACACACAAAGTTTGGGAAGTCTTTCATTTTTAGATAAGAGCTAAAAGTAGCTCCTCACTGAATTCTTGCCTCTTCACATTTCAAACTAATGACAAGGCTAAGCACTTTTCCTTTAGTTTTTAATACTGAAAGGTGACTTTACATGGTTCCAAAAATAATTCTGTGCTAGGTAATATATAAAATTCTCTTGCTATCTGATCCCAGGATTAGAAAATTCATTCTTTCAAAAGATACACTAGTGTAACTTTTACAGAAATTAACATATGCACCATGGTGTACAAATATAAATATCAACTATTTTTAAGTTTCAAAGAGAGGCTACATGGACATCCAAGGGAAAAGGAATGAATTTACAGTCATGGCATCTTTTACATCAAGTTTCTGGTGTAGTGCTCCCTCCATCATTTGTGTTATCACTGGCCAAGTCTTGTTATTTGGACTTATCCTGGTCATTTGAGCAACAACTTCATGATAAGTATTATTTTTATGGAGAAAGTAAAAACTGTGGAGCTACCATGGCAGAGAAGCATGCTAAGTCAGGAAAAAGTAGAGAATACCCAGATAGTTGGTACTTTTCTGATTAAGGTGGCAGATTACACTAAAATAAATAGTATGATAAGGGCCAGAACAATGAGCACAGAGGTAATCAGAGGCACTACAGGAATGGCAGTGTCTTCTGTGCTCATGGTCAGACACACACTGGAAGTGATGTGAAGGACTGCCTTCATGTTCAAGAGGAAGGTTGTCTATCAGACCACACTCCTGGTTAACTTTATAACAATACACCTGTCCATGCGCACTGAATATAATATTCCAGAGATCATACTTGGTATTTACAGTGTGCATGTAGAGGCAGTTGTTGCATTAAATGTTAGCTTTAGATTTAATCCAGTCCCGATAATGAGTCACTTTGGTATAAAGTCCAGGCTTGTTTTCTTTTCCACAGCCTATTCCCCAGCTTACTATTCCAATAAGATACCAGATGTTTTGATCTTGTGCAATGACTAGAGGTCCTCCAGAATCACCCTGAAGAAAAAAAAATATAGTTCATGTCATGAATAAAATGGGTCAGAAATGAGAGTTAATAAGCATCTGCAGGTCTTGTAAATTAATGATTTGGAGGTCTAATTAAATTTTATTTTTATTTAAAATTAGTACTATGATCTTTGAGTTTATTGTGTACTCTTATTAATGTCTTCAGTGGGAAAGTCATGTGAATGACAATAGTTTTAGTTTTACCTTGTAAAATTTTTAGTTCTTAAAAGAATCATATCACAGAGAAGTATGTGCACCCATGTTTATAGCGGCACAGTTTGTAATAGCTAAATCTTGGAAACAGCCTATTTGCCCATCCTTTGGAAACTGGATAAAGAAGTTGTGGTTTTTCTATAAAATGGAATATTACTCAGCCATAAAGAGCGAGAGAATAGATTCATTCATAGAAAAATGGATACATATTGAAGATATACTCCTAAGTGAAATACATAAGTCACACATGTGTAAATACCAAATAGTTTCCCTGGTGTGAATATTCTGCAACAATGCATAAGATTCTAATAAGATTACTGACATTTAGAAATTTGAAGAAAGGAGCTAAAGGTGTAGGGAAGGTGTGATGCGTAGGGGAAGGACAAAAAGGGAAAAGAAAAAAATGTGAGAGAATGAAAAGATGAAAACAAAGTGTTTGTAGATGGGGAGGGGAGGAGGGGGTGAAGGGAGGGCAGAGGTAAGGGGAAAAAATGAGAATCAAGACTTGCCATGTAGAGGTACATGATCTCAACAATGAATGTAACTGTACTGTATCCCTAAAATGTACCAATAAACTCAATAAAATTAAAAAAAATTTTTTAGTTCTTCTCTGCCTAAAACGCAGACCCCAAAATAAACTTAAGTCCAGCCAGCAATTGTTATATAGATGATGACTTCAAGACTTAAATGTCACCTCCTCCATGAAGCATCTCCTAACTTGGTTAGCTGGAAATAATCTGTTGATTTGAATCAAAATCCCACTTTATTCTGTTCACAACAATTGATGGAAAGGTGCCCAGCATGTTGAAGCACATGTGTACTCAAAGGATTTCTGCTACCAAATTAAAGTGGAATCCTGAGCCTGAGTGGATACATTTAAAGTATCTAAATCATGAAGACTTCTTTGCTATAGTCACCCCAAAGTTCAGGCAATGGATTTTGAATTTATCTTTTGGCAGTGGACCTATTTTGTCCAAAAGAAGAATCATGTGAAATCCCATTGCAAGGCTGTTTTTTCTGTTTTGTTTTGTTTTTGTGGTTTTTTTTTTTTTTTTTTTTTTTTTTTTTTTTTTTTTTTTTTTTTTTGCTTTTTTTGGTATCAGGGATTGAACTCGGGTCCCTGCACTTGCAAAACAGGTTGCTGGAACTATTTCAAGTTTTAAATAGGAGAAACTATCCTATTTGAACTCTTCCTAGTCCCCTATGGTGTTTGGTGCATTGTGGAAACTCTGATCTAGCAATAGTCCTCAGCTCTTTGCCTTAGGCCCGCGTCCAAATTCGGATCCTCCTTAATTTCCTGTGCTAATGGTGAAAGTAAGCAAGGGACTGTTAATTAAGGAAGGCAAGTTAGCTGATCCTAGGTCTGTGATCCAGTTTTATTGCTGGCCACTCACACTGTTTCTCTTTCTTCTCAAGAAGTGAGGTGAAAAAAAAAAAAAAAGAAGTGAGGTGAGTGGAAGGATATCGGTATTCCAGAAATGCAGCCAAGACCTCATCATTCCTTCTTTTGTTTTAGTTTCTTCTATGCCAATTAGATTATAAATTCAAAGGGGGTTGTGTTTCTTAGACATTTAAGTTTTCTTCAGAATATGACACTTGTGAACCTTGCAGTTCACAAAACATTTGAATGAATAAGTGAATGAATGTTATCATTGTATCTTACCCAATGGCAGAACAATAGTGGCCCCTTGGTATGTAAGGAAAGTGCACACGTAAGTCAAATTCTCAAGCTCAAATTTCTTCTAAATTCTTGGACCCAGTTTTAAATGCTATAGGTGAAGTCTTTCGTATTTGAGTTATGTTATTTTAGTACTCTAAATAGTCAGACTTCAGAAGAGGTATTGTACTTAAACTTACTGCTTAAATTTAAAGTTTTGCATCACAGGAGAAACTGCTATTTATTTAATTTTTTAATTAACTTTATTGGTACATTTACAATATACAATGTAGTGGCATTCATCATTGGGTATTTGTACCTTTACATCCATCTTGTTTCTTAGTTTTTCCCTGTTCCCCTGCCCTCCCTTCAACCCCTCCACCCCTCCCTATCTACAAGGACTTTGGTTCCATTTTTTCTTTTTCTCATGTTAATTCCATTTCCATCTTTCTTGTCCCTTGCCCCTCCCATACCCCCTTTCCCTTTGCACCTTTTCTTCCTATTTCAAATTATCTATTATGCCTTTTAGTTCTTATTTATACTTTCAGTTTCTCATACTAGAGAAACTATTTGATATTTACACATATGTGTCCTATTTATTTCACTTAAGAGTATCACCTCAATGTGCATACATTTAGCTATAAATGTCTCTAGTTTCTCATTCTTTATGGCTGAGTAGTACTCCATTTTATAGAAAAAACACATTTTCTTTATCCAGTCACCAATTGATGGGCAATTGGACTGCTTCCAAGCTTTCGCTATCACAAATTGTGCTGCTATGAACATGGGTGCATATATATGACTGTAGTATGCTTCTTTTAATTCTTTGGGAAAGATATTAAGCAGGGAATAGCAGGGTCAAATGGGACCTCCAATCCTAGTTATTTGAGGTATCTCCATACTGATTGCCACAGCGGTTTCATCAGTCTACACTCCCACCAGCAGTGAAGCAGGGTTCCTCTTTCCCCACAGCCTCACCAGCATTTGTCATTGGTTGATTTCTTGATAGCAGCCATTCTTTCTGGGGTGAGGTGGAATCTCAGTGCTGTTTTCATTTGTATCTCTAAATGACCAGTGATGTTGAACATTTTTTCATATGTTTATTTGCAATTTTTACTTCTTTGAGAAATGTCGGTGCATTTCAGGTGTCCATTTCTGGATTGGTCTTTAAATTTGGGAGATATGATCTTTTTAAAGTTCTTTATGTATTCTAGATAGTAGACCTTTGTCTGAGGAAGAGCTGCTGAAAAGTTTTCCCAATATTATGGGTTGTTTCTTCACATTATTGGTTGTTTCTCTTACTGTGCAGAAGCTTTTCAATAAGAAGAGATTCCATTTGTTGATTCTTTATACTAATTAATGGGCAACTGGGGTTTTGTTCATAAAATATTTTCCTACACCATTGTCTGCAAGAGTTCTACAGGAGTTGTGATAGTGGATATCCTTATATTGTTCCTGATTTTAGCATGAAGGATTTCAGGTTTTGACCATTAAGTATGATATTAGCTGTTGGTTTTTCATAGATGGTTTTTATTTAATTGAGGTAGAGACTCTCTATTCCAATATTCTGTAGGGTTTTTTTAAATGATGAATATTTGTTAGATTTTGTCAAATGCTTTTTCTGCATCTGTTGAGGTGATCATATGGTTTTTGTTTGTTTGTTTGTTTGTTTTTTTTGAGGCAGGGTCTCACTATGTAGTTGAGACTGACCTGGAACTCACTATGCAGTCCAGGCTGGTCTCGAACTCACAGCTAGCCTCCTGCCTCAGCCTCCTGAGTGCTGGGATTGTAGGTGTGCACCACCATGCCTAGTGATCATATGGTTTTTGTCCTTGGCTCTATTAATATAGTGTATTACATTTATTTATTTGTGTATGTTGAATCATCCTTCATCCTTGGGATGAATTCTACTTGGTCAGGGTGTATGATTTTCTTAATGATCTCCTGCATTCTGTTTGTATCCTATTAAGAATTTTTGTATCTATGTTCATTAGTGTGATTGGCCTATAGTTCTTTTTTTCAGCAGGGTCTTTTTCTGCTTTGGTATCAGGGTGATGCTTGCTTCCAGGAATGAATTTGGGAGTATTGTTTCCATTTCAAATTCACTGAAGAGTAAGCAGTAGTGGCAGTAGTTCTCTCTAAATGTCTTGTAGAATTCAGCAGTGAAACCATCAGGACTCTGACTTTTCTTATTTGGTAAGTTTTTTATTATGTTTTCAATTTCATTGATTGATATTGAGTTGTTTAGATTTTTAGGTCATCTTTGTTCAACTTTGGTAATTCATACAAATCTAGGAATTTGTCCATTTCTTCTGTATTTTCCATCTTTGGCATATAGGTTCTTGAAGTAAGTATTGATTATCCTCTGTATTTCTGCTGGGTCCACTGTAAATTCACCCTTTTCATTCCTAATTGAGTGGATTTGGGCCTTTTCTTTCCTTTTTGTGAAAAGGTTCCTATGGGTTCATCAATATTGTTTATTCTTTCAAAGAACCAATTCTTGGCTTCATTGATTGTTTTGTACTGTTCTTTTAGTCTCCATTGCATTAATTTCTTCTCTTCTCTTTATAATGTCCTCCCTTGTATGAACTTTGGGTTTGACCTGCTCTTCTTTTTCTAGAAGCTAGAGGATAAGCATCAGGTTGTCTAATTGAGCTCTCCCTGTTTTCCTAATATGAGTATTCACTGCTATGAATTTCCCTTGTAAGACTGCTTTCATCATGCTCCATAGATTCTAATATGTTCTATTGTCTTTGTCACTTAATTGTAGGAACTTTCTGATATCTTCTTTAATTTCCTCTGTGACCTATTGGTTTTTCAGAAGTGTGTTGTGTGTTTATGAAATTCTTGGTTTCTTTTGCTATTGATCTCCAATTTCATCACACTATGATGTGATAATGTACAGGAGATAACTTCAATTTCTTTGCAGTTACTTAGACATGTTCTATGTGTGAGCATGTGGTCTATTTTGGAGAATGATCCATGTGCAACTGAAAAGAATGTGTATTCTGATTTTGTGGGATGGAACACTCTGTAAACATCTGTTAAATTCATTTGTTCAAGAGTTTGATTGAGTTCTACTATTTCATTATTTGGTTAATCTATGTACTTATGAAAGTGTAGCATTGAGGTCTCCCACTACTATTGTGTTAGTGCTTATATCATTTTTCATGTCTATTAGTATTTGTTTTATATAGTTGGGCACACTTCTGTCCTGTGCATATATATTTATTATTGTCATCTCTTCCTCTTGGATTGTCCCCCCACCTTTGGTACTGGGGGTCAAACTCAGGTCCTTGTGCTTGTGTGACAGACAGCAGAACCACTGAGCTAAATCCCCAGCCCTGGATTGTTACCTTTACAAGGATGTAGTTTCTTTCTTTGGCTCTCTTAATCAGTGTTGGTTTGAAATCCACTTGATCTGCAAATAAGATAGCTATTCCTGCTTTTCTGGGTGTTCCTGTCACATGGAATATTGTTTTCTACTCATTAATGTTCAGTCTATGAATTTCTTTTGAATTAAGTGTGCTTATAGTAAGCAACAAATTTTTGAATCTTGCATCTTGACCCATTCTGCCAGTCTATTTCTTTTGATTGGTAAATTGAGAACATTAACATTGATGGCTATAAGTGATATGTATTGACAGATCCTTAACTTTTTCTTTCTTTTGGATTTTCTCCCTTAGAGTTTTATTGCTTGTCATGCCTGATGGATTCATTCTGCTGGGCCTCCTGGAGTTGGGATCCTCATTGTCTTTTCCTAGGATATTCCTTAAAATTTTTTGGAGTGCTGGTTTAGTATTCATGAAATTCCTAAGGTGCTCTTCTTACATCAGTCTGAGTTAGTAGTTGTTTTTTCTTAGGGCTTGAAGTACATACTTCCAAGCTCTTCTTGCCTTGAGGGTTTGTGCTGAGAAGTCTGCTGTGATTCTGATGGGCTTTCCTTTGTATGTAATTTGTTTCTTTCCTCTAACTGCCTGTAGAATTTTGTTTTTCTGTTGGGTTTCTGGAATCTTAACTATTATATGCCTATATATACATATATATTTTTTAATCACAGCTAGTTGGAGTCCTATAAGCCTCAGTTATCTGTATGTCAGGTTCTTTCCCCCTTTTTAGGAAGTTGTCTTGCATTACTTCAGTGAACAGTTTTTTTATGTTGTCAGCACTCTCTTCTGTTTCTTCACTGACTCCAATCAGTCTTATGTTATTCTTCTTTGAATCATCTAGCAGCTGCTGGATTGATCTCTCATGGTTCCTTACTGTTTTAAAGAGATTTTTCTTTTCCAGTCACTAATTGCAATCCTATCTTCTATATCTGAAATTCTGTCCTCACACTGGTTCATTCTGCTGCATAAACTTTCAATGTAGTTTTTAATCTCCTGCAAATCTGTTTTCATCTATTTTATGGATTCCATTTGTTTTTTATGTTGGGATTCCATCATGTTTCTCAACTCCTCTATTTTTTTGTCTGTGTCTACTCTAGATTTATTAATCATTCTAGTAATATGGCCAAAATCTGTGCTGATATCTAAGAAATTATTTGTGACTTCATTTTTTCCAGATCCTCTTTCATTGCCAGTTCAGGGAGTCCAGGTGGTTGAGTATCAGACTGTTCCATCTCATTTCCCTTTGGGGTTGCCTTCAGTGATCTGGAAGTCTGGTGTAGGGACTTTTTCTGTGTCTTCTCATTTCAACAATTGCAGCCTGCTATGTCTTTATTGAGACAAATTTTTCCTCACCCAGTAGTCTTAAATTTTCACCAAACCACCAAGAAACCTTTTTTTCTGCTGATTGTCAGTCCAGCAATTCCTGGGTTCAAGCCACTGATGCTATGGGGCAGGCCTCTGACTGAAGCTTGTGTGCCTGTGCAGCTCTTTCCTGGGCGGGTTTTGGCCTGGTGGGTTTGCCCCAGCCTCTGAGATCATGGAAGATCCCTGGCTGGGATCTTCCTGCAGCCATGCTGGTCTGGACCACACTGCTGCTCCCTGGGATCTGTGCACACTCACTGATGCTATGGGGTGGGCCTTTGACTGAAGCTTTTGTGCCTCTGAAGCTCTTGTCTGGGGAACCTAGACTGGGTGGGATTGCCCAGCCTCTGGGGCCTTGGCATATCCCTGGCTAGTATCTGCCTGCAGCAATGCTGGTCTGGACCACATTGCTGCTCCTGGGATTTGCGCACATGCTTATTTAATTTTTTTTTTAGACAAGGTGTTTGAGATAACACTTTAGTAAAAATAAATATATATAAGTAGTTTTTATAATGTGTTTCAAATAGTATAATTCTATCTGACTGAACTCTACCTTGAGTCAAATGTTTCAGTACCAGTGAGGCTAAGCTGAATAGCAATGGAGATATCTGCAGATCACATCTCACGGTGGGATTAACAGGGATGTGACACTCAAACTTTAGTTATGACCAGGCTTTGACTCATTGATTAAAGGGCTTGCTAGCTTGGTGTCTACCATCTGTTTTCATTAATTTAATCAAGGATCTAATTCATAACCAGTGACTGTATTTTAAGACTGTTCTGTTCCTTAAAGTACTAAATCAAGAGTATGTCTTATGACTCTTCTCTATCTGCCTTTTGCTCTTCCCTTTCTCCTCTGAAAATGAGTTTCACGGAATCCTGTGAAGAGATGCTGGCCTATGGCCATCAGGCTATTCCTACTCAGCAGTCAGTTTTGTGGTTTTGAATCTACTCTTACCTCACAGGCATCTCGTTCTCCTGCCAGGAATCCAGCGCATATCATTCCTGATGACACAGCACCACCGTATACATACACCCGATTACACACATCACTACTTAGGACCTCCACTTCCACTTGTCGGAGAGTATTTGGAAATGGACCTAAGTAAGGGAAAAGAATAGATGAATAATTTTCAGCGTGTTGTTATGGTAATTAATTATGGTGGCTTCTAAAGAGCACATAGTGGTAAACATTAGCCTTGAAGGAGGATTCTGAGCTGAATCACAATGCTCTGAATAAAGTTACATTTGGGGGTGACTTCTCTGTGGAGATACTAAGTTTGGCACACTTACTCCTGCTATATTATCTAGCTCTTGTAACAATCACCAAACAGATGTGAATGTCCCTTTTTCAGATGAGAAACTGAAGCTTACTGGTTAGGACTACATGGGAAGCAATGTAAAGTTAAATCCAGGGTATTTCTCACCACCTGAGAGTCCATGCTGGCTTATCTTGCCTTTCTTGGAAACCCAATGCTCCATTTTGCAAAGATATTTTCAGAATTGGGAATATTTTAGGAAGACCAAGGAAGTAACTTTAATACTGACAGAATTTTATTACTTCATGAGGCAGACCATGTTTATGTTGAAAATAGCTGCACTTGCTAACCAAAACAATGCTAGGATAAGTAGAAATGTCCAGTTAAGAACTAGATCATATTTAATTCATTAATCATATCTAAATCTATTTATTGGCTCATTATCTGAAAATATTATTTAGTTATATGTGGTATTGTTTTAGTCACTATATTGTGCTCATTTCTTAATTGCTTCCATTTTAAAAACTGCATTAATTATTCCAATAAGGAAATAGCTCTGTTTATAATAAGTTCAAATTGAGAAGGTGAGGGATACATTTGAATATTTGAATTTGACCAAATCTGTACTTAAGAACCACGGTCTTGGAGACAACAGATACAAATCTGAACCCTATTTGCACAGTTTAAAAGCTATATGACCTTGGAAAATTTACCATGAATCATTTTACTCACTTGTAGAAGGAGGAAATGATACCTATCTCATATTTATTGTTAGAGCTCAAAAAAATGAATAGAGTCAGTCACCAGTTCAGTTTTTGATGTAAGGGGTGATTGATGGTAAATGCTTATATTTTTAAAATGTTACAATAAAGGATACATTGTCACTAATGTCCCTCAAAATACTTCCTCTTGCTTCAAACAAATGCATTCCATCATTTTTGCCACTCTTTGTAGCAGTTTTGGAGTCCTCTTTCATGAATTTAAGAGGTATAATAAAAAATGGAGTGAATGCCACTGCTGAGTGCCATCCAATGGAAAGACAGGCTCCTAAAATCATTTCAGTTTTCCTTCCACCTTCTTACTTAGCATCTCCAGGACCATGTGATTTCTAGCTCTTCCCCCAAATCAGAATGACCATGAAAGGTTAATGTTTTGCATCACCTTGGGACATGGATGTAGCCATGAGGATGCAACTAAAAATATTCACAAAAGACTTCCAGAACTGTTTCAGAAAGAGACAAGAATGGTGGCACGAGTGTGATTGAAGTAATTGAGAATATTTTGGGAGAGATTAGTAGCAGTGTATCTCTTACTATATAATTTAAACATTCACTGCAGTTTTTGATCATGCTTTGTAAACACAAGATGTGAGATGAATTATAGGGATGAGGGTGAAGCATGTAAATTTAAAACTGTGCCTCAGCATTACATGGATAGTGATAAAAAGCTTTACAGGAAAAGATCTAGGTTTCTAGGGGTTTTATAAAAATATTTCAGTATAAAGATGTCCAATGTTCTGTTTTGAAACTGTTAAATTTACTCGCTTTTCTGCTGAAAAACTAAGTCCCAGTTCTTTACACTCCTTAAAGATTACCTAAAGTCTAGGGAAGTTCTTCACTTCAGTCATTGTTTTGAAGTGTGAAAGTGTAATTGCTTATTTTTTTGTTATCATTTCTGATTCTGCTTGAAATGTTTCTAGTGAAAGAACCTATTTACCAAATGGTGACTTTACAGATTATTACACAATCTCAGCATTGTGTAAGTGCCTCAGCAATATTCTATTTTGCTCTCTAAAAAGACCTTTAAAATTTTAGATGTCCGTAGGCTTTATTTCAACTAGTTGTAGTTTTTGCAGACCCCTTTTAATTTGGTGAATTGGTCTAGGATGCCAACGTTAAATTTATAAGTGCTAATATGCTTTTAATCTCAACTTTTAAAAATCAATTCAAGTGCTGTTTTACATTTTCAAACTGTTCATTTACATTTTCACCATTCAAGAAAGAAACTATAAAGAGAATAAAAATGAATTATTCCAAAACTAGCCATCTATAATTTGAGGTTTTATAATGATCACAGATTAAAGGGAGCACAGTAGGTTGTCTGCTGTCTGGTAAGAAGATTTCTAAATAGATATGGATGGACAAGACTTAGAAAGAGAAGACCTGAGTAGTCTTATACCCATTTCAAAATGTAAAAGGTAACTATCACCTAATATTTGTTAATTAATCTCAGTCTCATATCTTACAAATCCACAATGATACTTCCAAAAAGTATGCAGTTTGTTAGAATAGACAGCTCATTACACATTGTATGCACACTAGCTGGCTTTGAAAGATTCAGACAAAACACCAAATTATCCCAAAACTACCAATCTCGTACAAAGAGGTATTAAATTTAGATCTAGACAAAATATAATTGTGCTACTCCCATTTCTACTCTGTTCAGGGAGTGGTTTAACACTTGGAGGGTTTAATCCCCCTTTCTTCCTTGTTATCATTTCTTATAGAATAATGAAGATTCCCCAGAGTGAGGAAATAGTATATCAGCCCAAACTTGACATAGTAGCAGAATTTTCAAGTGCATATTGGAAGGAAGTAGACTTCTATTAAAATCAACTGGCAGAGAATGAGTAGATCACAGCTATACTTTGAATAGTTACACAAATAAGATATAAATTCATACTAAGAGTATAGTGTAGAAATCAGAAATATGAGGGCAAATTAAACTGTACATAAAATGTCCAACCAAGAAACAGAAACTGGAGACTCATGCCAAGATTTAATAATCTGTGCTTGATGTTTACTGAATATTATTAAGTATAATCAAATGCCATACTTGCGCTCTTGTCATTTTTTTTAAGGTCTCAGGCTAAAGAACAGACTCATAAGTATACGGATCTATGGGGTCCTGTTTAATATTTAGCGCTAAGTCAGAGCTGGGGATTTAGCTCAGTGGTTTGGTGGTCTGTTTGTTCAGTTTTATGATTCATTTTCAAGTGCATCCTGACTGGAGCTTGCAAAGCATGAATCGTATGAATCAGGCATCTCAGCAGAATCTTTACATATGACAAAGAATAACTGAAAGAAAAATATGTGCCTAGTTGTATATCTTGGTTTTGTATTTTATTTCACATCCTCATTCTAAAAGAGAATAGTTTTTTTTTTTTTAATCCTTTTTAAAATTCTGGTTCACTGTTTTAGCCAAGATACATACCACTTGCTTTTAGTGCTCCCCATCCAGTGACAAACACTTTACTCTTTGGCAAGACTTCAAAAGTGGCATTTGGAAGGCAGACTCTGTGCACGTTTTCAGAGAACAGCACAGGGGTGGCGAGCTTCACCACAGCAATGTCGTCCTCATGCTTATGGGGAGCGTAGTTTTCGTGGACAATAATGGACTGTACCTTTCTTCTCACCAGTGGAGCACGCAGGGTTGTTCCAAAGCTGGCCATCCACATTTTAGGGTTTTTCTGACTGATAACAGATGAAAAGGAACATAGTGGGTTTCCTTCTGATCTAGAACTCTGAATGGGCATGTGGCATGTGCATAAGAGGACACATTTTTTAGCATGATATCAATGGAAACTTCCTTAAACTCTTATTTGAAACCTTTCCCCAAGGATAGCTTTGTTTAAGAATAATAACAAATCTCCATTATAAAGTAGCTTATATTAGTCTTTTGGAGAAATCACAATTTTTAAAGGAAATAATATTTTGTCATTTTGTTATAAAAATAATACAGATTAATTGAAGAAAATATAAATATTACACGTTTAAACACATATGCTCACATAGGTACATGTATACATTAATATCCAAGCTCAAATTATATAAATGTTTGTGTAGCTAAGGAGAGAAAGAGAGAGGGAGAAATAGAGAAAACAGAGACAGAAACAGAGGAAGATAAAATTAGGGCTGTATTTCACATAGCTTTTTTATGCTTCCTTTTATTGACATTTTATACAGAATACTTTCTTATATTGTGAATTTCTCAAAGGTTTTAATGTATGTCTTTATTATCTCCAGGTAACCCTAATGTTAAATCTCCAAGTCAATGACAGAATGAAAGTATACACCGAAGATATTGACATAGGACAATGATATATATAACTTGGAGGTTGGGATGCTGTTAGCAGAATTTTGAAAAACCTCCAGTGTAACAACTCAGGAGCCCTGGTGAATCTTTTTAAGTTTTGTCAGTGTTGGCTTGTTCCTGGTTAAAACTGAGATCACTGGAGAACACACTTTCAAACAGAGCTGAAAGCAGGCTAGATTTTTCTTGTACTTCTCTCCAACAATTGTGCTGGTTCCCCAAGCCGGTAAACAATTGTGTGTGCTATTGAGAAGGCTAAGAGGGATGTGAAAGAAATGAGAAAGTGAGCAGAATCATTGGCTATGAAGGTAAGAAAGAGCAGTGAGGAGGGTAGCGGGTGGGTGCAGCCTGGGACTAACTTGTCAAAACAGTGCGCAGCGGTGAGCAGCCAGGTGGCACTGATCAGAGAGGCCCCACAGAAGTGCGTGCCATCCATCTGCAGGCTGGCTTGCCATGGCCACGCAGCTTGACTGGCAATCTGGCCATGAGTAACTCTTTCCATGGGTGGGTACTCCATCCCTAAACCACAACCTGTCAGAAAGGAATAAGAGTTACTTACAGCGTTATAAACATGCACAGATATGCTTGGCACTTCGTTATGGATGTAGACTTTTATGGATGTGACCTGGCCTTAAAAACTCATTGAAATTAGCATTGCATATAATGGAATAATGGTTACTTGCATTAATGAAGTTTGATTATTCCATTCCAAATTATTAACTTTAAACAATTAATGATATTAAAATTATTTAATACCTTCTTTGGCATATTTGAAGCAATTTCCCTTGAAAATTTGCTTTTGTCCTGCTTTTGAGATCATGTTCTTATGTGCAGTAGTTTACCTCAGTGATATTGGAGTTTTGAGGGCTAGGTGCACACTATTTACTGCAGAAAAATTACATGTCTACTCTTTTGAAATATTTTAAAATAAATTACACTATTATAACATAAGTTTCCATATTAAGGTTCTATAATACAGTTAGTGGATATCATTTAATTTCTATGTAAAAAATTCTACTTTGACATAGTAAACCACACACAAGTAAATTCAATAAAACATAAAGAAATTGTTGAAAGATACATCACAAAATTTGCTTTCGGAAAGAAAATACTCTCAAGAATTCTTTGTAAACATTCCCAATTTATAGCAACATTTTTTTTTTGCATTAGGGAGAATTAAATCATATATCCATTTAGACATTATATACACTTGAGAAATGGTAAACATGGGAGTAGAGAAATACTGAAAATGTTGAAGTTTCCTTCTTGATTTAGAAACATCTCTGTAATATTCTTGAACTTACAGCTGTTCAGAACATGCTCTGCTTGTGTTCCATTTACTTCTGAAAAAAGCAAAACCAAAATCAGCACTTCACTATAGGACCATTTTAATTTTCAACACTATGCTTGCATGACATGAATTTTTATGGCTGGAAAGAATTGCATTAGTCATAAAATTCTAATGTAAAATCCATAGAATACAATTCTATAAAAAAGAGGCCTATATGCAAATTAACTTGGGGTGTGTGTGTGTGTGTGTGTGTGTATGCTTGTGTGTGTGGTATCAGGAAATGAACCCAGGGCCTTTGCACTGAGCTGCATTTTCACCCTTTTTCCTTAAATTTTATTTTGAGACAGGGTCTTGTTAAGTTGCTAAATGCCCCAGACTGAGCTCAAACTTGTGATCTTCCAGCTCAGCCTTGGAGTGCTGGAATTACTAGGTGTGCAACACTTCTCCCAGCTAAATTAAATTCTTCTGAGTGTATGTTCAACCCAGGAAAGTCTGGTACATGACTATGAAATCATTGGCATAGAGAAGAATATTTTTGTCCTGAAGGGACAAAATATCATTGCCATAACAGTTTATTAAAATACAAGTTAAATAAAAGACCAGTTTTATAGGTCTCTACTCTATATCTGGAGACCTTTTCCTTTGTTCTCATTTGCACACTAGTGGGGTAAGGACATTCAAAAGATTCCAGAAGTCTGGCATCTAGGTTTGCTCCATAAAAGATCCCTGCTGGACTCAAATCAACCAGTATAATTTTAAGCCTTCAAACATGTCACCCTGAGAGTCATGCTTTTCAAATAGAGGAAGGCATAATCTGTGGCTATCCTCCCAAATTAGTTGAATTATCTTTGTGTCAGTAAGTAGAACACTGAGCTCATACAAAGGGAACTATGCTCAGGGTGTTTATTAGCGTACCTCCTTTTGGATAAGGTTTTGCCAATAATAATCACCCTCTAATGACTTCTGGCATTTAGAATAAACCCAGACTTCCCATCAAGACCTATGTGATGTGGTCTCTATTGAGGTAAAAATCTGGTCTGGCAACCTTGTCACTATAGGGTCGACCTGGCCTCTCTGATGTCAGGCTGGACTGCTCCTGCTAATAACCTTTACTTGCTGTCCCCGTGGACTTCCAGGTTCCTGTTTGTGCTGAGGTGTTTCTGCCTGCAGTCTCTGTTGCAGCTGCCCTCTTTTTCAGCATTGCTTCACCCTTCGCCTTTTTATGATTTGTTAGACCTTGTCATTCAGCTCTCCGGGTAAAACTTCTTTCCTCATAAGTCGTTCCATGACAACCAAATTTAAGCAGTCCCTATTCTGTTCTCTGCATGGAGTTCACATTACTCGACATTACCTTATTTAGTTATCAGATCATTGTATTTCTTACTCCAATTAAAATATTAGCTTTATGAAGACAGAGATTTAAGTTCCTGACTCAAGTAGATTTTGAACACATTCTTGCTGAATGAATAAACAAACAGTGATGCTAATAATTTGATGCATCTTATGTGCTAGGTACTATAACACTTATTTGCTTATCACTTTGTGATGATAGTTACCTTAGTGCTCAATATTTGTTGATTCTTCTGTATATTCAAACCAAGTTTTGAAAGTATTTGAAAAAAATTCATTTGACATCATGTACATTTTTTCCTGTCATTCTTTTTAAGCAACAGAATATAACAAATATTTATGAGTACACAATATTTATATTGTGTTAAGTACTATACATAATCCAGAGATGATTTAAATTATATGGAAGGATGTGTGTGCATTATATGCAAATGTTATACCATTTTATATATCGTATTTCACACCAAGGGATGACTGTACTCTGAAAATTATTATCAGGTATCAGTAAAAGAACTCTGAAAGCTGGAAAGATGAAAGGACAAAACATTTCAGATTTTGAGGAAAGACAAGTGATAGGTTTGGGGGATTTCTTTTTATCTCACACAACACCTGTATTGGGAACCAGAATGGCATGAAATCTGTGACTATCAACAAGCAAAGGTAAAATAATCCTAAGGAAAGTCTGACCTGTTTCCGCAAAGTACTGGGAAAGATGAAGGACAACACAGGCTAAGTAGGAGTCTCAACCCCTGCAACCTACTCTTCTAGAAGCAGTGCCAACAAGAAGTCCTTGGCCTCCCAATTCTCCACATTACAACCACCACCGTCTGGTAGCTGAACACTCAGAGACACAATCAGCATCTACCCAGTAGCCCACTGAGAGAAAGCAGCCCAGAGAAACAACGTACTCCCACATAGGCCACCAGCAGCAGGAGCTAAGAGGCAGCACCAGCAAACCAGAACAGCATGGCAAGAGTATGAAAACCTGTCAATGAGACAGCAAAAGTGAGTAAGAATATGCACTCCACACACAAGCAGGTTGACTACCTGCTTAATTGAAGAATTAAATAGAATTAAGAGCTTCCTAACATAATAAGCAAAATGTCCAGAATAGAAATAAAAATTACTTACCACACAAAAACCCCAAACCTAGGAAACCCCAAATTTGAATGAGAAAAGAACCAAGAATACTGATTTTGAGATGAATAAGACTGGAAGTACCTCACATGGAACCAAAGAGCTTCCATAAAATTATTTAGAAATCATGTGTAACCCCATAATTAAACTACTAAAACCTAAAGACAAGGAAAACAAAGAAAATGATACATTATCTATGAAGGAACACTACTTTAAAGACAATAGTTTTTCATCTGAACCTATAGAAGCCAAAAGGAAATGATATAGACTTTTTCAAGTACTGAAAGAAAGAATGATCAGCTCAGAATCTCATGCCAAGTGAAAATATCCTCAAGGAATAGAGAGAAATATATATATTTATATAAATATAAATATATAAATATATATACATACACATATATATGTATATATACATATATATTCTTAGATGAATATATATATATATTGTTAGATGAAAATGTTAGTTGGGTACTTAGACATTAACAGACCCAAAGGACAAAGAGTTCCAAAGCAGCATATTTTGCCAGCTATAGTGAAATGAAAATACAGGCCTCAGAGTATGACATATTTATACTCCTTTGTTTGGTCTGACAGCCAAAATAACCCCACAGAGCACCCTGACATGTTAAGGTCATGCACTGTACATGTTCATCACCACACGGACCTATCCGTTTCTGCGAGGCACACAGCATTCCTGGTGCCCGTGGCCTACAGCTCAATGATATCAGGAACGGAAACCTTCCGAAAAGACCCTTCTATCTTGGGCTGACACCTGCTTCAGATTAGACCTTTCCCTTTCCTACATTTCATTTGTATGTTTCTTACAAGGTTGCGGACCCGAGTGAGTACTGACCCTCTGACAAGAGTGAGGTGAGATTTTGGAATTCCAAAGCAACCTCTAAGGAAAGTGTTGACAAAAATACACTTTTGTAGATTTCCAGTGATCTTCACAGTACCCCAGGGCTAACTCATGCTTGTGTAAAAAATTGCACGTGATGTGGATCCCTTCCTGGCATGGCCCACCTTTTCGCTTGGAGACATAACTCTATAAACTCTGCCTTTACTTCTACATATGTGTCCTGACTAAACTCATCACCCAAAACACAAAGGACCAAGCAACCAGGGTTGGTTCCATGCAGTATCAGGATCCAGCTTCCTGGTGACAAAAGGAAAACTGAAGGAATTTGTTTTTAACATGCCTATTTTTTTTATCCTGAGCATCAGTTTTTTCCCCCCTCATTGAGTTTATTGGTACATTTTAGGTATACAGTACAGTTACATTCATCATTGGGGTCTTGTACCTTTACATGACAGGTCTTGGTTCTCATTTTTTCTCCATACCCTTGCCCTCTCTTCGACCCCTCCTCCCTTCACTATTACAAATACTTTGTTCTTAATAGCCAAAGGGAGCACTCCAAACAAAAAGCAGATGATAACTAGAGACGGAAACATGCAGTGAGGAAAGATACAGAATGGGTAAAATAGAAATAAGCAAAATAGATGGTCTTTTACTTCCTAAATTTCTTACACAACCAAATAAATTGTACTGCAAAAGAAAGAACCAACCTTACAGTTATTGTGTCAGGATAAGAGTGTAGGCTTTTATCTCATGCAGATGTAGTCAGTTCAAATCATTCCACTAAGATTTTTTTTAAAGGGAATAGCTACATTTGAGTAAACAAACAATTCTTGTTTTATAATAACTTCAGTACTAGCCAAAGAAAGATAATCTTTGGTGTTGTGTGTGGGGTTTTGTTCATTGTCAAATAATTGAGAAACTTTAAATGAAAAGTTTTATTTTATGGTGCAATAAGTAATTTTTCTCTGTAGATGAGATTACTGAATATCATTAAGTATAAAAAGAGAGACAAAATTAGTATTTCTTGCCTGTAAGATAAGGTAACGAAGTATCTATCTTCAAGAAGCTCTCACTGGATTTCAAATTGTTATGCACAATCTCATTAGCTTGTCTCTTTATAGTGTTTGCATTGTTAGAAGTAAACTTAAATCTAAGCAGTATGTTTGCTTTCAAACCATGATTATTTGGCCTGTAAAACAAAGATAACAGAATGAGTGAGGTTATAGCCACAGAAATTAATATATTACACATTAATACTTAAATATCAATTATATGTTCAAGAAAACAGAATAAAATATTTCATAATTTTGTTGTGATTTTTCATGTATCACACAGGTTTATTTATGTATTTGTTCATTATATATAGTGAACATTAAAGTCACCTGGAGGATTTGCTAAAAAAAACAGCTGTTTGGACTCCATGCTTTGTTTCCGTGGCTCTGGGGCAGGGCCTGAGAATCTTCGTCTGTTTTTTGTGTTTTTCTAAATTGGTATATGCTTATAAGACATAATAATTACATTAATCTTGGGGAATTAGTACACCTATGTATCACTCTTTAATCATTTAACCACACAGGTTTGAATACCTGATTGTAACTTGCTTGGAAAACTTGATCATATTCAGAGAGAGGAGAATGAGTATTTGACAGTTCTAGAATTTGCTTTTCCTGGAAGTGAATCCAAGTGTTAAATTCATTGACTTTATGCAATCATATATATGTTAATATAGATTCTTGAATTTTATAGCTGTTAATAAATTGAGAAATAAGTAAAATTGAGACATAATTAATGACGTAAGAATCTTCAATTGAAATGCAAAAGTCTTTAAATAGACAACCAATGAGATATATTTCATTATTACTCAAGAAGTTCATTCATTATAAATACTCTGTACAGGAGGAATAACATTGTAATGACATTACATCAGCTTTTTCTCTTGCTGTGCCTAAAACTTTAGATTCTCTTCACAAGAAATTATTGGAAAAGTAACTAAATAATTCAAAGTTGTTTTTAATCATACAAGTTAATTAGTTATGAGTACCTGAAGTTGACAACATGAGACTGGATATAATGATGGTGTAGACTGGATCTTTGAAATATCTTATCTATCTGTGGAAAGAAAAAAAGAACACAACTTTGTTAAATACAAATTTCACAAACTTTAATCCATCACAGCACTCAAAGCCTATTGAGTACAAACACTGGTAGAGAAAACTTTAATAGCAAAAACCTAGGAAATTTTACAGTGTAAAATAACTTCTGCCCTTTACTCTGTTTAGTCTAGAATTAACCTGCACTAGAGGCATCTAGTTTCCCTCAAAACTTTGTAAATGAAAAGAACCATTTTAACTTTGCTGACCAAACACACCCACTTCCCCTTGGCTAGAATAAATAACTAAATAAATCTTAAAGGTAACCTCCCCTACCAAAGAAGTGCTACTTCTGGGTTGAAATTCACCTGCCTTGCCACCATGTTTTGAATTCAGCAATGTGAACTGTAAAATTGCAATGTAACCTCATGAATGAGATCAAGGCTATTAAACCCCATAAAAGGGAGAGTTGTAGCCAAGTACTGGATTGGTCAAGGCACTGCCATTAGGTGTCATCGATCCCCATCAATAGAGTAAACTTTATTTTACTTCCACTCTGCTGCCTCTCCGGGTGTCACTTGCCAATTACATCCATAACAACATCATTTTCAGTTAGCTTCAAAAAGCTTCTGTAAGCAAAATCTCGTTGTCATAAACTCTTCTGCATAACTGGCATTGATATTTGAACAATTTGCTGTAAGTTCACAGATGACTGACACTGAGTAGAATTAAGCTAAGTGTTTGAACATCTAAAATAAAAGTTAGAGGTTGGAAGTACAGAGATTTGAATGCCTTTAGAGGTTGATGTACTGGCTCATTTCCAAAGGTCTTTCCAACTCAGTCATCAGACTTATGTGATGTGATCGAAGAATTGGTGCTTTTAACTTTTTTGAAAAAATTTAGGTCATTTTGCTTCTGTGATAAATGTAGGGAAAAAGAGAACATATATGTATTGGACACTTCTCTTAAACCAAAGACTTACCAAGAGAAAGACATTAGACGTTTAACTAGAAGAAGTAATCATCACTGTGTTTTTAGATAATATTGGATACTACCTTAGATAATACCTCTGTGGCGAAAATTCCTAGATCAAGTCATCTCTTAATAAAACTGCATCATATAACAGAATCTGTGGTTTTATAAGCCTGTTTATTGCCAATGATTCATCATCTGCTAAACCTTAAGTGAACCTCAGTCTGAATAGCTAATTCCACACATTAGTGGAGAAGAAATGCCAAATGGTAAAACATGGTGCATGTTAACTGCTTTTCACTCATCTAGGTTAATTTATGAAATTTTCATCAGTGAAATGTCATGTGATAACATTGATCAGTTGGTGAGATGTTTATAAAGATAGAAATAGTTGTTAAAAATGGTCATGCTTTCTTTGCAACTGATTAGAAAGGAAAAATTTTAAGGAACCAGTTTTATATACATATATGTAATTTATACAACAAAACTATATTTATGCATGGTAAAAAATTTTAAAAGCAACTATACAAAAGTATCACTATACAATAGTGTCATGAAGCATTAAAGGCAATTCTAATCCAGTGTCTAGAGAGCCATGATGGCTTTGAGTAGTTGCACAGGGACTATATGATTTGCAAAGTTGGCAATATTTATTATCTTGCATTTTACAGTTCTCTGACTCCTGATCTAAATTACTGCATTTACTTTTTTATGTTATCTCTACTTACACTTTAGAGGGCAGGACCTATACCAATGAATTGCTCATTTATTTTCTAGTCATCTGCTTGTTGAGTATTTTCACAGTCCTACCCTCTGAAGACTCTGTGAGAAGCATCAGAAATATAGGTAGCCATCAAAGATCTGCCATCATTGCTTAGCATAAGTGAATTCACAAGCAGGAACAGACACAGGCATATACAATAATAATGTTGTCATAAGGTATTGAGTGCTTTAGCACAGAAGTATGAAAATTTTGGGAGAGAACTGGAAACAGACAGAAGCATTTACTCATACTCAGACATTCCATCTCACACTTTTAACTCATTACATCTATCAATCCTCAACTATATCTGAGAGGTGAGTGAAATTATCCCTACTTTGTAGCTGAAAATTTGATGTCAAATCATTTTTTCATTTTGTTAGGGTGACAAAGATAAACTAGAATATAAATCTAGATGTTTGCAACTCCAAAGGTTAGTTTGTCTCCAATTCAATAAATTGCTTCCTGTAACAGCGCATACTCTATCTTGCCCCCCTCAAATCAAGGCTTCTTGTAGATAAATTTCTCGAAAGACATGTCCAGCCCACTCAATCACATCTCATGTGCCAGCTTGTGTTTCTGATTATGAAATGACAAAGGAAATAGATCTGAACCTGGTTAAAATACTCTTCCATCTTCGGTCAGCATGGGCTCATCAGAGGCTCTGTGCACAACTGAATCTGTAGTGGGAGAGCTGATCTATAAGTTTCTGGGGTATGTTTTCAGAAGTAGATGTTAGGCATAAGTTACCTGATGGGAAATATGTCAGAGTTATCTACAGATATGTTCTTATTTAACAGTATGTGGTGATATTTCTTGAGCCCAAATGATTGAGTTATTTCTAGATAACTCCAATGATTTATTTTGTGATTGAACTATGTATTTTTCTATGGGGCTTGTGCTTTTTCAGTCTAGTATGTGATTTTTCATATAATGTATTTTTCTACGCCTCTTGAAATAACATTGAACAGTTGCCAGACATAGCAAATAAAAACAAAGATAGTTTGAATTTCAGATAAACAATGGATGATTTTTTAAAATACAAGTATGTCTCAAATGCTTGAAGAAGATATTTTCAAGAGAATTTGAAGTTATAGTTTTGATGGACATTATATATTCTATCTGGCAACCCTAACATAGACGTAATTTACTCCTTCTCAATTTGCCTCTTATTACTCACAAAATTGGAAAATAGATGTTTCTGACTCCAAAGGTTGACCTATCTGTAATTCAGTTTACTGCCTCCTGTAACAAAGATTTCTGCCATGGTTTTTTGAGTAGTAATAGTACCAGCAAAGCTCACACTTACCTCATTGTTGATTTTTTGTTTCAGGTCAGTCTTAATTTTTGAGTGTTCTACTGAAAAGTCTGGATTGTAGTCGATACTGGGCATCTGGAGGGAGGCCTGGTAATAGTGAATTGTCTGCTCTGGAAGGAGGAACAGAAAGGGGTGATTTCTGTTTAACTCATCTAAATTGTGTAAATTTAAGAAGCAGAGGGGATGAAGAATGGATATGGATATGAATGGAGATTCCCCCTCCTCTAAAGCTTGGTGTAATGGAAGCTTGGCGTCCAGCATAACGGTGTTAAAAGCGGGGGGCCCCAGTGGGAGAGGACCGGCTCCCGACTGCCCTGTGAAGAGATCAGTGTGGTCTACAGGCTCGGGATAGCTCTGTGAAAGTGGGCTGTCATGAAGCAGCGCGTCCTTCCAAGATCTTTTGCTCCTTCTCATGCTTCATGGTCCCTTCCGCAGCCGCCTCACATCACATCCGCTGCTGTCGTTACTCTGCCCTCCCGCCATGATGCATGGCCCTTCACCGTGCAGTCACCCAGGGTATCTTCCAGAACCTGGGCCAAGTTAACCTTGTTTTCTTTATGAACATCCAGCTTCAGATATTGGCTATAGCAACGCTAAACACACTAAGTCAGACACATAATTAGTGAACTCATCAAAACTAAACATTCAATAGCTGCGGTTAGTATCTCTCCCAACTCTTTTTCAAGATCACATAGTTTCCTAGCCAGCGTGATTGTTGGTCACGTCCTGAGACAATTATTACCTGGTAGTGATAATTAACACATTTAAGTATCAACATTTTCATAAGTTTACCTCAAATTAGAATTTCTATTAAAACAATTTTTGTCCTTAGCTTATAGAATATTATTATACCATAAATAATATAGCATGTGAATTTATTTTATTTTAAAAGAAATATTATATTAGCCATTCCAAATTTTAATGCTAGAGATAATACTTATGCATAAAGATTTATTTCTCAAATATATGCAAGTTTATTCAAAAGAAAACTTCATTCTGAAATATTAGAAAATATTAAAGCTTTGCAATAAACTCTTTGTCTTCAAATTTACAAAGTAATACAGTAAGATACATACTTACCATATTCTAAAAAATAGACAAGGAGACCAACAATTATTGCCAGAGCCAACACGATGGCTGTAGTAATAAGGAAAATCATCCATGGTTTCAGTGAATGTGTTCTTCTCTGCAGGGTACCTGGCCTTTGGAGTTTCGGAGGGAGAGAGAGGAAGAGAGAGAGAGAGAGAGAGAGAGAGAGAGAGAGAGAGGGAGAGAGAGAGAGAGACATTAAAAACAAACAGAATTTGAAGATTAAATAATCTCTGTGGTATTTTTTTTTTATCGTTTGTCTCATTCTAACATGAGCAAACAGAGGTTCAGAGATTAGATTATCAAAACCTCAGAGTTAAGTATTGAGAGACCTGGAACTAGGAATATTTCTCTTGTTGCTGGAGATTTTTGCTCACCTTTATATTTAAACCTGTAACTCCCATTTATAGAATGTGTAATCTGTAATGATGTAAAAAACTTGTAAAATAGGGAAGAGTTAAGAAAATAATATAGAAGATAAGTAAAAATAATTAGTATTGCTAGGAAAAGGCAATGTAATGAAGAAACAAATAGTGATGACCCAGGACTTTGAACCAGTAACTCTGGTATAATATAATGTGTGCCTATTACATAGGGTTGCAATATTTCAAGCCTATGATTTTTACAAATGATAATGCATAAGATAAGACCACATTTATTTGAGTCAATAGAAAATCAATTTAAAGAAAAATATTAAGGCAATACTAGTAACAATAGAATGCAAATATGGTAAAAAGCATGGAAGTGGTATGCACTTTCCTATCCCAGAACCATCAACTTTTCAAGTAGCACCAATGTGAATTTCAGTTGAGTTTCTGGAAAGACACAGTCAGTCCAACTTGCTACTACTTGTTTGGTGGCAGAAAGGCATTACAATTTGCCAATACTGGAAGTATCTTTAGAAAAGGTGGGCAAAGGTAGGAGCTGATAACATACTCCTCTCCCTTTTTACTAGAAGACTATGGCAATCATGAACTCATTCATTGACATTTACTTAGCAAATGTCAATCAGGAGAAGTAAAATTATTTACCAGGCATCAAAATAAAATTACAATTTTATTCTTAAATTTGTTACAGGACAGTACTCTCTTTCCTTCTTGAATTTCCCCTTTCCCAAACCTTACAATTCAGAGAATTTAATTTAGGGCAGATTTTCCCAGTGTGAGGACTAAATAGGGTCACTATAATGTAGGAAAATCAAGCCTTACAGAAATCTAGTGTGTAAACAAAAGAAAACACTAACTGACAAGTCCTCACAATATTTATGCCACCAGGCGGGCGGAGACAAGAGCCACCCATTCAAGTCAGAGTAGAAGCATTTTTGAAAAGCATTCTTCTGCTAATCCTTCTCCTACGTCACTGAAATCTAAGTCGCTCTTTCTTTATCTCATGGGCAGATGCTTCATGAGCAGCAACCCTCATCAGAATGGAAAGAACTCTTCTTACTTTTCCAATATCGGTCTTTTTTTTTCTTCAGTGTCATAATCTTTTACCATGTGCTTGCTCAGGTCCTGTTCCCTTAGATCTCCTGGCATCTATGGCTTTTCCTGGATATTTTCAAATATTTTAGCCACAATGTTGTTCAGTAATTCAGCACTGAAGAATAAAGGAATTTCTTTCTGGTACAGCACTGGCAAAGATTCAAAAGGCTCTAAAAGAGGCCATTGAGCATGGTGATGGAAGTGTAAAATTCTGCAGGGATCCTGCCTGAATTCTCAGCCTGGTTCCCTCACTGCTGGCCAGAACTCATCTTTCCTGTGCCTTGGCTTCTTCATCAGTGAAATGGGAGCAATAACATCCCCTTGTGGGATCATCAATAAGATTAAATGAATTAACAATTTAAGTGTAAGAGCACTTTCACCAAATGACTGAAATGGTAGAGACTTTAGAATATTGGTTGTTCTAGCATTGTTTTTTTTCAGGCAGTCTGATTTTTCAAAAGCAGCTGAGAGTGATACCAAGGTGGTCTGCACACAGATGCAGTGAAGTTAGCTGTGGGAAGAGTGTGCTGGATGGTATTCCTGGGGCTCACAAATGTACCTGAGGTGAAGGCTGGCCCAGGACTGTAGAATCTGAGTAGCAAACTGCGTACAAGATTGCTACTGACAAGATTTACCTGACAAGATTGGAGGTCACATGAGGAGCCTCACAAACCCTGTTTGTCCCTGGGGAGTGTTCTCACAGACAGGAGAGATTCCAAACTTGAGGAGAGAAGCAAATCATAGTCTGTAAGAGAACCACAGACTCAGAAACAGCATTCTGTGGTGGACACATATTGGAGCATCCACGGGGTGGGGAAAGAGTTACTGGAAGAGATGATAAATATGGTAAAATGTGAAATAAGATGGGTGGATCATCAAGGTGGAGGTTTTTACTTCATTGACCCAGGAAGAGGAAATAACTAGGAAGACGTTCACCATGTAAATATTAGTAGGGGGTGGAGTTATTTTTCATAACAGTGGCTTAGCAATGATGATGATCAGCATTCTGACTGCACCACCAGACACAATGAGACTTTCATAAAGTTGATGATGTGGCACAATACCAGAGGTATGTGAAAGATGAAATAAGATTTGAGTTTTCATTTACATTTCATGGGCTGACAACTGTGGTTGCTGTTTTATAACCTTACACGATGTAAATAAGAAAGACATAATGTTTCATACTAGAAAGCTGACTCATATCATAATTAAAATATGATCAACTGATGTTTTAGTAGCTAAAGGTTTAAAAGAGTAATCAAAGAGAGTGTTTCCTTTGAAAGCTTTAAGTGTCCTTGATTTTCCATGAGAACAGTATTTCTTGAAGGAAATTGAGACTATTGAGATAATTAGAGCTTGATAAGAACCAAAAAGATCGACAGAGACTGTTGGAGACAGCAAGCTGGGTCAGAGCAGCACCTTATCATCACTTCTGCCTATTCTACTTCTTTCTTCCTTTTTTAAAACTAATTTTTCATTTAAGCTTCATTTGTCACTGATTATCTCTTTGTCCAGTCACTTAACATCAAGTTTTGACCTTCACAAGATAATAAGGCTTCTTCTGAAAGCTGAAACTTGAACAAATGCATTACTTATAAATCTTTTCTAATGAACTAGTCCTTCTGTCACTGTATCTGAGCACTGGAAAATAGTTTTTATTTGAAAAATAAACTTAGAAGGTTGAAAATTAACCAGAGCCATCCCTGAGTCAGAAAGAACTCTCTCTCTCTTGTTTTTTTTTTTTGGTTCCTGGGATCAAATTCAGGTCCTTGTGCTTGCAAGGCAGGTGGCAGAACCACTGAGCTAAATCCCCGGCCCAGAAAGAACTCTTGAAAGAACTGCTTGGAACTGCTGGAGAATTTGCCTAAGTGCCAGAAAAGGAAGGGTGAAGACAGATGGTGAGTGGGACAACTTTGAGGAATTAGAGCTGTGGAGAGACTTTACATCTAGTGAAAATATGCTGTGAGTCTCTAGAGACTTTTGGTCTCTTCCTTCGTGTCTTTATTCTCTCTTTCCTTTTCTTTTTTGATTTCCTTTACAGCTTTAGTAAGATATAATTCTCATATTTATATTTTGGCTTCTGACAAACTGTGTGTCTTTTTATCAACCTAAAGTTCATCAGTTTAAAGTATATAAATTAATGGTTTTTAGTACATTCACAAAGTTGTTCAGCCACCTCTGCAATTATATTTTATGTTATTTGCTGGTTTTAAAGAGACGGGGTCTCACTACGTTGCCCAGGCTGGCCTGAGCTCACAATCCTCCTGCCTTAGCCTTCTAAGAAGCTGGGATTACAGGCACCACCACTCCTAGCTTCACAATCTAGATTTTTGACAGTTCATATTTCCAGATAGATATTCCGTATTTATTAACAGTCACTACCCATTTCCCCCTAGCCCTAGGGAACTAGTAATTTACTTTCTTTCTCTATAGACTTGATTATTCAGGACATTTCATGTAAACAGAATCACATAATGTGTGGTATTTCATATCTGACTTCTTATATGTAGCATGTTTTCAAAATTCATTCATGTAGAATGTGTCAACACTTCATTTCTTTTTTATTTTATAAAGAATAAAACAAAATTTAATAACAAAACAATGAGAATAGCAACAGTTATCATAATCTTAGTTACTCAGAATACAAGTCATAGACAAAAAGAATCTCTTACAAAGAAGAAACAGATAGATAATAACACAACATTTTCTTTTCAAGAACTAAGAGAAGCTAGTAGTATAAATGAAACAGATTGGCATGTATGTTAATATATTTTTGAAACAAAGGAATAGGTAATTTGGAGAATTATTTGAACTTCTCCCTATTTCCTATTTATCTATTTCTATCCTCTATTTTGCTCTTGATTTGTGTGTGAACACACACATATGTATGCAAATGTATATG